ACAGCTCTCAAGTGACTTGTTTTATTCTCCACATTAGACCTATAGTGTCACAGAAATGTTTTGTATTGTTTGCTGTAAGTGTACTTAGGCTCTGACATCTTCAAACATTTAAACTTTTTTTCTTGTAGTGCCTGAAATGTAAATGCCAGGAGAGACTATTTGTTGTGAGTTTACCGTTCATTGGACGTCAAAGCTGACAGAAGTAGAAAGGAGGTGCGTTTGTTTCTGTGTAAAGGATGAAGGTGCAGTGATTTGATATTCAGGAAAGCTCTCTGTCCGACAAAGAGTCCGTGTCGAGGTCCAGTGGCTGCAGAGTCCAGCAGGTGTTCAACATTTAGCTCCATCTTCCTCTGAGCCCTCTGTGTGTGTGCTCCACCGGCCACAGTGTCAGGGGCGTCGGCTCTTAAATGCCAAAGCGGAGGAAAACCTTCCCGATGCTTTCAAACTGCTGCGCTCCCTCTCTGTGTGTTGAGAGTTACCTCACCACACATTATCTCCTCAGGGATTAATGCACTCTGCCTCGGAGAGCCTTCCCTCTCATTTCCCCTCTTCAGACGACTGTAATCACCCTGCACGCTGAGCCCCCCCCCCCACAGTAACAAGTGTCTGTCAGGTCAGCGGCTGCGGGGATAAGGACTATCAGGAGGAGCTCCAGGGGAACAAAGGGCTGCAGGCCCTCTGATGCCTGTGGAGCAGCTACAGCACATTTAAAAGAGTCACTTTAAATATGTATGAGGCTCAAACTACTCTATTACTAATGATAGAGATATCAAATACCAACTAAAGAGCCACTGTGAAGCTCAGTCGGTGTAATGCGGCCGTACGTCAGGATTCTTAATGATATCTGCCGTAACAAAGTGTCTTAAATTGACTTCAGACTCGGTTAGTACCAGATAATTTCACCATCAGAGAGACACTGCTCAGAGACGCTGAGGCCAAGCTGGAGGCGGGCTGAATATTCATCGACTTTAAAACTCTCCAAATTCATAAATGCAACTTTTAGAGGCTAATTGTAACATTTAACATCAATAACTCATTAGAACTATCTGGCACATTTGGACCTCATGTAATTAATAGAGTTGGGAGTTTAATATTATTGATTATAGTTATGTACTTTTTACCAACTTGTTTTTCTGCATCTCATCTTGTTCTGTTAAGCACATCCTTGCATGAAAGGTGATATACAGATACAGTTATTATTAAATTATGAAATTAAGGATTTGTTTATGGGGCTTGTTTGCAAACTTGGCCTTTTCCCCCCATGATAAATCCAATGAAATTGAATTGAGAAGTGTTTCGTCACAAATATCATAATATTATATTGTCCTACCAAAATACAGTACAACATAGTCGTTGCCATTTAAAACTGGAAAATATGTCATTTCATGTGACACATAGAGGGAACTGGTTTGCATTCGTAGCCATTTTGACACAAAGAAGGAGGAAGTCAGATGAGATTTTTATTGAAGTTATGATTTGTTGTGCTACAAGTTGTTTACTCCCCTCAAGTAGCCCAACAAAAGGGTGAATTCAGGATGAATCATCATATGTTTATCCTTTTCAGGATCTGTGAAAGGTCAACACATCTGTGACCTGCAAGATATTTTGGGCAGTATAGTCTTACTTTTTCAGAATGCCACTGATGTGATAAAGCCAGTTAAAAAAGCGCCTTTTGTCACAATACAAACTCAAGCGACATAATCATAATAAGTGTCTTTTTAAATTGAGCGTCTTTCCTCTTTTAAAGGGGCCCTATTGTGCTTTTTGGGGGGTTTTCCCTTTCCTGTTTTGTGATGGGTTTGTGTGCATGTAAATGGTTTGCAAAGGCTAAAATCCTTGTGTTCCCTCCAGAGGGAGTTTCTCTCCCACACGCTGCATGAAACGCCTCTATTGGAGTTTGTTTACTTTTGTTATAGTGACATCACCTTGTAACGCTCCAACACATTATACGTGAGGCTTTTGAAACCATTGAAACATGTCACAGTAGAGGCACAAAATACCCAAATGGAGCACAATATGTCCTCTTTAAACAGTGAAATCATGGTTGTTGGATACTGAGCGGCAGATGAAGGCCTTGTGCTGTTGAGATGAAGTACACTAATGTTGACGGAGTAATGGAAGCTAAAGCGTTGTTGTCAGAGTTGTGTGCAGGGATCGGACCGAGCGTGAGTCACAGTAATTGGCTCTCATCTCAGCGGTGGAGAACAACATCCATTAACAGCTTTAGATGGAGGCAGCGCTAGATTACAGAGGGGGAAGCTGTAAATACTTATTGAGCTGATGTTCATGAATCTGTTTGTATATATATGTGTGGGGTTCAATTAGACTACGGGCTGCAATTCTACAGTGTGTCCCATTACCGTTAAGTATACAGTTTATCCAAGTGATGAATGATAAAGATGTGTACAGCCGCAGGGCCCCACAAACAATTAAACACTTTCCTAAATCATTTTTATTTAACTGTGTTTTTAGTTAAAGAGAATTAGAAGAGTGTTTGAACATTAGTGGGATGGAGACGGACTAGCTTAACATTATTAACTCATTCTCCTTTATTGAGTTTAAATTGCAACCTCCTTCCTACAATAACACAATTGAATTTGTACAACTTCACAATTGCATATTGTTCTATATATAATACAGTATATTAAATGGGGTTTGATTGCAAAGAGAAGCCAATTAAAATGATAATAATATCATTAGGTATACAATATGATGTTTTGATTGCCTTCAGTCATCTATAAAGCATTAAAGAATGAAACATGAAGGTTTCTTCTGACAACGCTGATTAGTCTCCATCAGGATCAGCCTGTAATGAGCCGTTCATCTTAACAACACCACATGATCACAGCATCCATTCATCCACATTATTACACTGTTCATTCATCTCCTACTGTATGGTGCCATTACAGCTGAAAGACCTGCTTCCACCTGGGGACATGAAGCATGCCTCTCTGTGATTAGTGCCACTCGCTAATATCCACAGACTCAAAAGGAATGATGATGGAGCTGTGACAAACGTTTGATTGAAAGGTTTCTTTGTGTATTACCTTATTCAATGACATCATGTATTTCTCTATTGCTGATTATTTCCCCCTCTCAGCCTCAGTGCGCTCTCGTCCTTCTGTCTTTAACAACCCAACACTTTTTCTCCCAGACGAACAGATGGGAAATGATAATCTATCTCCAGCTGCGTGTGATATTGTGATATCCTCAGCGTGGTTTTAACTGCCGACCCCTCAGCTGTGTTTTCCACTCTGGAGAAGAGTTTGGACATATCTCCTTTTACGATTTTGACCCTCAATAATCTCGTGCCAAGAGAGGAGACGTTCCTGTGTTAAACTACTGACAGACTGCAGTGTAACGTCAAAGGCCTGCTTTCACTTCGCTGACATCTAACCTGCTGTTACTATCTGTGCTATTTTAAACCTTGTTGAAAGGATGGGTTTCTTATTTTCTGAATATTTATTACAACGCAAATAATCTGTGTGTTTGTTTTAATGCATGCTGTTGATTGCTTTGGACAACAAAGAGATCACAGAGCAGTTTAAAAATCATCTTATGGAAAATGTGCAAAAATCAAAACCACAGTTTTGTTAAAGTGCTTTGAGATAGATAGTAAATGAGCAGACATTAAAGAATGTGCATTGATGATCATGAACACCTTATAACAACTTGTTTACTTAAAGGTCCCATGTCATGCTTTTCCGGTTATCACCCGTCCCCTTGTGTTATGAAGGTTTTTATGCATGTGAACGGTCTGCAGAGTCACAAACCCTCAAAGTACACCCTGTAGCGAGTACAACTCTAACGGCCCGTCCACACAGCGGCGTGCGTTGAAAGCTTCACCATTCACTTGAATGGGGTGACTTCACTTTTCGCCGAACTGCATTGTGGGAAGCGGAGCTTTGCTGGCGTGGCTCGCTGCAGAAGTTGAGAAATGTTCAACTTTTGAAGCTTCTGAAACTTCGGTGGAAGCGTCAGCCAATCAAATCCCGTTTATGCAAATCTGCCAGTACAAGCGCTAGCCAATCAAACCGCGTGTATGCTGGGAGAGACACCCCGTAGGTCATTTCCTCATATTCCAAAAAATGGAGGAGAAATGAATCATAGCGGTAGGGAATCGCCCAGTCGTGTACGATCAGTCCCTGTTCACTACCGGGATACAAACCGGAGGAGCCAGAGCCAGGCATGGAGGGAGGTGGCAGAGATAGTGGGTGAAACTGGTAGGTTTTCGCCTGTTTGGGGAGTTTATATCCAGTTTACTTCGTAAACTGTATGTCGGGGGCGGAAGAACTCCCCAAGCTTCAGACACGCCCACCGCCAAGCTTAAACGCACGTCGCTGTGTGGACGGGCCGTAACACAGAAAAGACCTGTCTATGCTGCCCCAGAACGCCTTGTTGGAGATTTCTCTTTTTCTTCCTGGGTACAGTGACGTGCACGGATCCATGGAGCCGTTAAGTTACGTCCGCAGAGCCGTTACGTTAAGTCTGTGGATTGGTCCAAATGGACCAATCCACGGACTTCCTCACACACACACTCAATCGTTTCTCAGCTGCAGCTCCGCCGATTTCTCCTCTCTGAGACGGCGGGACGAGGCGAGGCTGTGAGTCGGTGTGTGAGCACACACACAAACTCCCAGCCAGGCTGCGGGTGTGTGTTTCGGGCTGGGTTTCGCTGTGTCACGCTGTCTCGCAGACGGCCACTGGGCTCATAGGGAGGGGGGGGATACACATACTATACAGAGATGCTGTATGAGAAACCAATGTGATTTTGGAAAATTGCACAATATAAATCTATTTTAGTAGACCTCAACAATAGAATTATGATCAGTAGAAATGGCCAACACATGGGACCTTTAAAATATGACAGTTTCCCTGTCAGTTCACTTGTACTTGTTGAGCCACAGAGTTTTGAAAAGTTCATATTTTAAAGAACTTTAAGGGAGAATGCGAAAGCTCTAACTTTAATGCTTTTTTTCTGCTCTGTGATTGGTTGACAGAAGTGTGTGACAGCTCATTGGTGTCCAATCTGCCTCCATCGTCCTTCAGAAGCTCCTCCCAGCTGTCCAGCAGCCACGCGCCGGGCTTCGCCAAACTCAACAGGAGAGACGGTAAGAAAGACTTTCTGCTGCTGAGAGTGACTGAGTGAATGATAATGAATGACTGGATGATGTTTACTAAGTGGGAACTAATCACTGGAAGTTACAGCATGATTTGGCAGAATGAGACTACAAGTGAGACTTTAAAATAGCCCAAATACGTTTATTTATTTTTACTGAACATATTCCTGTTGAGTTTTATTGTATTATCATTTGTGTGTTATTTCAAAAGTCTTGCTTTCCCCACACAGTAGCTCCCCTGCATCTTTCTTCACATTTTTTGGTTTTACGACATGTATTCACTATTTTGATTCACTCTCAGACACATTGCCATCTGTGGCAGCTGTTTTCACAGTGAAAAATGTAAAATAAAATCACTTTATATGCTACCTGCCCATTGCTAAACATCAGACCAACAAAGGTAGCAGTTAGCTGGTGAACACAGTGGGACATTTAACAGATAATATGTCAGGGTTTGATAGGAAGGCAGGACCCAAACGCAGTACAAAACAATAAGTAAAGTAGTTTGAACAAGAACCAAGCTTTAATCCACAAAAAAGCCGGTAAACGAGGAAAAACAGATTATGCACAAACTGGAACACGAGGTACAGGAGCCCAAGGAAAACCAACAGGAACATGCATGGGGAAAATAACGACCCAACAAGGAGATCAAGGGAAGACAGAACTCTAAAGACACAAGACTCATCACAAGACAAGACACAGCTTCGGGGGGGCAACAGGTGAACACAATCAGAAAATCACTGGGAAACGAATAACAGGAAGAAAAACTAGACAAGACACAATGAGGTGATACATTTAAAAATAAAACAGACTGTCACATAATAAGCCAGTAAGAAAGTCATCAAAAGGAAACCCATGCATCAATTATAAATGTAGCTTCTTATCCACTATGCTGTGCAATTAAAACCAACTCTGTGTTCATTGCATCAACTTCATAGTATAATAATTACTGAGTTATCTGCTGCAAAAAGGCCCAAAAACTCATGTAATGCTGCCACAATAAAATGGCTGAGGATATTTCTACACAAACACACAGTAGTTGGTGTATTGGATGCCCCAGACTTTCTTGAATGTGAGAACATGAAGGATTAGGAGTGGGGGTGTAATGAATGAGTTAAAAATAGCTGAGATAAGGAGGGCTGTTTGTGTCACATTTCCTCCCCAGCTGTATTAACGGTGCAGAGCTCACACGGTTCCAGCTGTTTGCTGAGGAAATCGATGAATAAATGAACGTCTGGTTTCTATTTCCTGCTGCTCACTCTCCGCCTCCGCTCTCAGAGGAGCAGCTCTGCTTCCAGTTCATTTACTCACTAAATGAACAGATGATCAGAGCCCTGCAACCCCGCCTAAAGGATTAATACACATGCTTTTCACATGGGCTTTATCATTAAGAGTTTTTTTTAAATAACAATGCGCTGTAATTAAAATAATTGACTTCACTGAAGAGGTTGTGTGCATCCAGGGAATAGGTCTCTCGGTAACTGATTTTGTTGTTTACAATTTCACCTCAGAAGTGTTATAAAACGAGTCTGATCGTGAGCATAATACTGTCGTTTAAGGACAATTAGATTTGTAGTTGTATGCATTATCTGCAGCATCAAAGTGTATTTCACAGGTGTGATATAAATCATCACGATGGTGCTGTTAGAGATAACAGATAAAAGGCTCTGATTAAAACAAATCATTTCAACGACTAAAGTATAAGCAGATATGTTCCACGGCGTTGTCTATTACTTAACCTTTTCCCCATAAATGAGAATGTGTGTTTCCGTCACCTGGCTCCAGTCTTGTTTAATTGCAGGCAGTAGACACAGACTTATTTGCTACCCTCAGTATATTGTGCCAAACAGATCATCACTGAAAAGTGCCCACATTCCTACTTTGAGATTCTTTTTCTGCCAGTGTTCACACACGGCTCAGCAGTGATGGATGTGTTTGTGTCCGGCGTAAAGCACGCGTGAAACCTCTCACATTGTCCCTTTTGTACACAGCATTTTCTTTCAAAAGATGACACACTCAATATTTTTAGATCTGGGCCAGGAATAGTCTGAAACGCTCCAGCAGGAAGCTGATGAGTGACAGAGATAAATGCCACTTTCACCAGGAACCTGCAGGATGAAGCACTATGTTACGCTCTGATTGGCTCCTCAGTGTGTCTTACCCCTAGTTTCCACTGGGTCCGTCTGCGGCGTGTTACGGGCGCGTTGCGGCCACAAGGATCGCGGCCACTCTAGCCGCGTTACGGCTCAGAAGCGTCCCAGAAGCGTCTCGCCGCTGGGCTCCGCTCGAAATAGGATTGAAGTCTATTTTTCAATGCGACGCAGCCATAAGGTAATGTCGGGCAGGAAGTGGAACGGTGACAGCATCCGACCCACCCCCCAAAACCGGCTCCTTCTCCTCCCCCCATCCCTCCTCTGTAGTCTTTCCAGTAGGAAAATAAAGGCCAGCGTTCTCCTTCGGTTTACAGGCACTGTGTGTAAATTATATAGAATAATTATGATGATGAATGCATTTTTTTTACCACTAAAATACAGCAACTATCTTTTATTCATGTTGTTTTTAACTGGACTATTACAATTATTATTAATTATGTCTGTAGTCTACAACACACCAAATAGGAAATAACAACAATAAACACGATTTAAACAGACACAAAAATAAACCATTTAACTACGTAGCCTACTTACTTTCTTGTAGAAGTACAAATGTCCAGGAAATATGACCAAATCAACAAGAACTGCGAGCCGGCATGCACGACGCTCCGCTTCCGTAATGCCTCTGAAACGCTCGTGAAACGCGCCGGTAGGGTATGACGCCGGACCAAAACCGCGGCCTAGCCGTAACACGCCGCAGACGGACCCAGTGGAAACTAGGGTTCCCATATTCAGTTTTCATCTTTAATTTCTCCTTCCCGGAACATGGTGACATCACTATGTAGCACTCAAACTTCTATTGGCTAGCGCTTTTACACATTGTGTGTTAATTATTTTTTTAAGAAATCCAACCAGTGTTGCTTATCTACTATCTGATTACATTATGCAATCTGCCCTTATTCATTTCAATAATACTTTTAACTTACCAGGAGTGGGGTTCGAACCCACGAGGGCTGACACCCATTGGATCTTAAGTCCAACGCCTTAACCACTCGGCCATCCTGGTTACTTCGGTTAGCTTTTATAGCCAAAATTATCGGGGGTTTTCCCTTTCATGTCGTGCGTTATATGGGTTTTTGGGCATGGTAATTGTCTGCAGAGTTTCTCTCCCACACACTCCCCCTCCTGCCTGAAACGTCTCCTTTGTTTACTTCGAGAGCATAGTGACATCACTACGTAACACTTGCACTTCTACTGGCTAGAGCTCCAACACATTGTACATGATAGGCTAAGGGGGCAGGAAATCTTAAAGCAGTTGACTAATCACAACAGAGCCGGCCAGCTAACCAATCAGAGCAGACTGGGCTCTGGTTTCATGCCCCGGCCACACGAGGACGAAAACGGCTAAACGCATAGGATTAACGCAAACGCAATCGCAAAAAAGCTTCCGTCCACACGCAATAGTCATCCGGATAGTGTCTGTCCACACGAGACAGCTCCGTTTAGCTCCAACCGCTGGAGAAGCTGCAGTACATATACCGAGCCTGTACGTGGCGCTGTAACTTCCTCCACAAAAGCAGCGAAGAAGCATGGTTGTCATGGTTGCCCTTCTGTTTATTCTCCGCGGTGGGGGCCGAGGGAACCGGGCAGAGTTTCTCGCCAGTCAACGTGTATTAAAGTTTAAATCTTCCGACAAAATTATAAAAGTGCCGGTCAAAGGTCTTCTTTGTTATTTATTGAGCTTTAAAACAAATGAATAACAAATCTATATAATATAATAATATAAATACACGGAGCCTCTCTTTTTCCTCCCTCTCTTTGGACAGCGCCAGTGTCTGTTTCATGCAGCAGCTGATCCAGTAATGAGTGACCCGGCCGACAGTAAAAATAAACATATTTATATCTAGTTTAGGTAGTTTGAGAGGTAATTAAAATAGCTAAGGGTGATGATCTGACTTGAAATGTGTGTTTTACTCCGTTCACCGCCGCATCACAGCGGGAGGAGCTGCAGGTAAGCAGAGCTGCGTGTCTCCGTCCTGTCAGATTAGACTTCACTCGCGTTTAGGTCCATATCGAGAGAAAGATAAATAATCTGAATTCAGTGTGCAGTTTACTTTGACGCGGGGGTGAGCAGCAGAGGTGGGGAGAGGCGGGGCTATTGCCTCATCATTATCAGAAAATGATCGTATAGGGCGCACACATGGAGCCGTTGGACCCCCCAGAGCGTTGCGTATGCCGTTCTCTCCACCTTGGGACCCGTTATCGTTTACGCAGTCGTTTAGTGCCGTATTCGGTCGTCCTCGTGTGGCCGAACGGTCTATATGACACTAAACAGTAACGCAAACGACCGTTTTCGTCCTCGTGTGGCCGGGGCATCAGACAGAGGGTGAAAATAGGTGCTGCAGCACAGGCAGTATGAGAAAAATAAAGAGCTTTGTGAACATTAAAGCATGGAGACATGTCCCAGTAGAGACACTACATACTGATATGAACCTGATAATGAGCATAGGGTCCCATTTAAGTGGAACCTGTTCTGGTTGTGTATGGATTGCACAGTATTGATTTTCAGTACATGTGTTTGTGCATTGTAATTGTAAAGTTTTAATGATTACACTTGAAATTCGACTCGGGTTATGTGTTGTACTTTGCCTGCAGGAGACACTCAGTGTTCCCCGGGCTCCTGCGTTATTAGGTTCTCTCTGTCCATCTGACAGGTTATCAGGCTGCTGGAGTTACCATCCCGGTTCTGTATTCTCATGCAAATGAGGAGCTCTCACTCCAGGCCTGTATATAAAACACTCTGCCTGCCATGTGTCCGTCTTCTTTTCCTTTCAGCTACCTGTCTCCCTGCTTTCTTTCCTACCTGTCTCTCTCACTGTGACGGCTCACCTCTTCCATTCTGCTTGACTTTTCATTTTGCTGCATGTCTCTCTCTTTGTATGTCCTCTGTACCTGTCAGGTGGAATATCGGTGCATTATTAATGATTCAAGAGTCCTTTCTTTACTTGTCCATCCATCTTTTCTTTATAGTGAAGCTAACGTCCAGAGCGGACTCTCGTCAAGCTTGGTTTCCCTTCAACAGTGAAGCCTTCTCCTCACCTGTTACATACACTACCCGTACTGCTCTGATAACAACAGGGAGACAAATTGAGTTGGTTTCAGGTGTCCGAGCCCTTACATGTGAGGCGGATTACTGAAGGCTCAGGGAGGAAGGGAGCAGCAAACCCACCTCAAATATACTTATTAAGTATACTTAGCGCTAGGGCTGCTCGATTAAGGAAAAAATCATAATCTCGATTATTTGGGTCAATAATTGTAATTGCGATTATTACAAACGATTATCCATTTACTTTGAAAACATCAATTTATTGGAGAAAAACAATTTGAACAGTATGTTTTTAACAGTTGATTACCCTGAACTTTAATTATAACTCAACTGAAAAACCAATACAAATAAATAAATCGTTATATTTCGATTACGTTGTTTTCGTAATCGTTGCAAGCCATAATCATAATTGCGATTAAAATACGATTAATTGAGCAGCCCTACTTAGCGCCGTGGATGTCTCTCGCTCCTCTCCAACTTCGCCATTTTTGTGCTTGTTCTATTTTAGTCCATTCATATAGTCAGGGTTGGGAGGGATACTTTAAAAATGTATTCCGTTACAATTACTAGTTACCTGTAAACATTTGTATCAGTAACCTTATCAGAGTATCAAAATATACCTGGTTTAAGTACCAAGACTTAATGATGGTGTTAGGCACAGGGGTGGTTTACGTGGAAATGAGTGACAGGTTTGCAGGTGACTGGCAGAGATAGGAAACTCTGAGGTCACCTAGTGATCATGTAGGGAATGACAACATCTAGAATGATCAATAATGGATGCAGTAGCTGGACAGAGGAGAGGAGGATCCTGTGCAGGAATATGGGAGAAATCAATCATGACAACAGCCTAGACGTTAGTTATATGTGAAGGGTACAGTAATATGCAATGACACAAGCCTGATTACAATATGTTTATACCAGGCTTAGGTATCCAAATGGTCAAAGGGCTTCCTTTCATTTTGTGCTATACTTAAAGTAGAAATATAAAAAAAGATAAAATGTTGAATAGGAACTGTTTGGTTATCATGTAAACAAAGTAATTCAACACAAAGGAGAAATACACTGCATTGCTCTTAAACTGTTGTACAGTCAAACAAGTTGGCTCAGTGCTGCAGCACCTCTTTTCACCCTCTGTCTGAAACCAGAGCCCAGTCTGCTCTGATTGGTCAACCGCTTAGAGATGACCCACCCCTTAGCCGTACAATCGCGTATGTATTGAAGCGCTAGCCAATAGAAGTGATTTTAGCCTTTGCAGATCATGCACATCATTTACAAAAACATTTATAATAACACACTACAGGAAAGAGATAACTACAAAAAGTATAATAAAGCCCCTTTTGTTCCCTGATGGGTGAAGCCATAACATCGGAGAGTTTGTAGTTCTTTTTGGCCATAACCATTTCCACCTTCTTCTCAGGACTAAGATGAGGGTGTTGCACTTTTCCTTTTCCTTATACATGTGATGTTTTGGTGTTGATGTTTTGGTGTTGTTGTTTTTTGTTGTTGTTTTGTTTCTTTCCGTTAACCGTCAAGTGGGAAATAAGTATTTTTTGTGTTTTTCTTAGTATACTAAAACACTTGTTATGTTTGGCTGTGAAAAAAAAGAAAATGTACTATGAAGGGCAGACCATCTATTTTTATTTATTTAGTTTATTTAGAAAGTGGCAGGTCATATAAGATTGTTTTCTTCTTCCTGCTCCTTTCCGCTCAATGGTGTGTTAATAGAGACAAGTTTTGTTGAACAGTGAGTTTTGCGTACCATGAGCGGGACAAATAATGAAAACCACATTTCCAAGTGGCTGGTTAGAGTTGGTTCCTTGATGGACAATCAGGGCAGAAAGAAACTGTTTGATTTAAAGGATCCATCAGGGTGGACCACACGTCAGTCTTGGTAACGCCCTTCTGAGTCTTGGAGCTCTTTCCCTCCGACCTCTTTCTCTTTTCTTTTCCCTCTTTCCCTCTTCATGAGGAAAGGTCAGAGTGTCTGCTCGGTTCTGTTCTCCTGTCACTGGACACGTCTGCTAGTCAAGCGCTAATTAGCTTTGGCCTTCAGGTCCACCAGCAATCAGACCGACACTGATTCCTTTTCACTGCTTAGCTTAGTTCAGAGACAAAGTAAGGGAATACGGACGCTATTTATTTTGCAACCCCACCGCCCGCAGTCATAGTGGTTAGAACTAGTATTAATTTAACACATAATTAAAGTTTCATCCTTTGCAATAACACACTGCTGTAGGATGGTGGTTTGCTCCTCTTGTGGACAAGAGGGAGGTGAAGTACTTTAGTGACTGTAGGGTAAAATTGAGCGTGAGATAAAATCATGGTGAAAAGGAGGCTGAGTTTGAAGGTGAATTCAACTCTCAAGCTCCTGTGGATACTCTGAGAACATATTGATACTCCCTGATTGCTGAGCCTATATCACACTCGCCTTTTGGCAGACTGCTTGAACCCACAAATAAAACAAAAATGTCTCACAGCCGACTTTTTGTGATGGATTTTTATGACAGAAAGTCTTTCTAGTCTCACAAGCAACACATTTACTAACAGCTCAGTACTGTCCCCTGGAGGTTTAGGATACATTATGTGTGTTGCTTTTTAAAGACAATGTTAGCTTCCTGGTGCAGAAACAAAAAGCAGACAGCATGCACACACACCACACACACACACACACACACACACACACACACACACACACACACACACACACACACACACACACACACCACACACACACACACACACACACACACACACACACACACACACACACACACCCACATCTTGTATACATCACTTCAGGGGACATTACATTGACTTACATGCATTTCCTGGAGACTTATCCTAACCATAACCAACACATGTCTAACCCTAACCCTTAACCTTACCCTTATCCTAACCAAGTCTTCACCCTAAAATGAATGATTCCCCTTATGGGGACCTCCATTTTGTCCCCATAAGGGAGGCGAGTCCCCACACGTGACTATGTAAACAGATTTAGGTCCCCACAAGTATAGTAATGCTAGGCCACACACAACACACACACACACACACACACACACACACACACACACACACACACACACACACACACACACACACACACACACACACACACACACACACACACTATACTACGCACTATAGCCATTATTGAAAGTGTTTTGGGGTGAGACAAATGGTATGGCGTGCAAAATGTGGAACTAAGCAATAAGATATAAAGGAAACGCAACACGCCTATTGAAGGAACTGCACTTTTTAAAAACTACTCAGCGTTTCTCTCACCAAACCTTCTTATTCGACATATTAACCTAGAACACAGCCCATCAATAAGCAACAACAATGCTCTTTAATTGTGATATGTCATACGGGAAGGATGCAGACATGCAGGACTGTAGAAGCAATCAATACTTGGCAGCGCAACCTCTTATTGATGATATTCTATATAAGGATCCAGACAGGCAAGCAAACTGTACAACTAATCAATACATCACGCCACAGCCTCTTAGCAATGCTATCTTTGGAGAAAGGACGCTAATGGTCTAGCATTTGTGCAAAGAATCAATGACCAGCAGCACAATCTCTTATTGAGGATGTTATGGAAATTCAATACACAACGAATCACAAAGAGTAAACTTGATTGTCACAAATCTAATCCAGGAAAAAGGGTAACGTCAGGCAGGTTTTTAGCGTCAATAACTTGCTTAGAATTGCCTGATTTCTACATTTTAATTTACAAAGACGAACGGATTTATAAAAATTCAATAACTGAACTGTGTTTGAAGTAAATATCAGGATGTTATTTTTCTTATTCAAAACACCTGCAGTATCTTGGAGTAAAACTAACCATCTGTTTCAGCTCCGTAAGTGAAATACTCTATGCTCAATTATGGCACACAAATGGGTTTTATTCCACAACAAATGGGTAAGGTAACACTTAAAGGGCAAGCAATTCATCGCTAATGCACATACAGCAAGGCAAGGCACGTTTATTTATATAGCACCTTTCAACACAAGGCAATTCAAAGTGCTTTATAAAAATGAAAGACATTAAGAGCATAAAGAAATAGTGCAGCGGAAACACATTATAAACAGTGTGAGATGTAAATATTTCAATTGAAAGCAGCGGCAAAAAGAAAAGTCTTCAGCCTGGATTTAGAAGTAGTGAGAGTTGCAGCGGACCTGCAGGTTTCTGGGAGTTTGTTCCAGATGTTTGGAGCATAATAACTGAACCATGTTTAGTTCTGACTCTGGGGACAGAAAGCGGACCAGAAGACCTGAGAGATCTGGATGGTTCATCATTTAGCAGGAGATTAGAAATGTATTTTGGGCCTTAACCATTCACAGCTTTATAGATCAGCAGCAGTATTTTGAAATCATTTATTTGACAGACAGGAAGCCAGAGTAAAGACTTCAGAACTGGACTGATGTACTTATTCATCTAGAGAGACATGTGATGTCTCCCTCTCCCCCTTTAGGAGCTGGAGGGTGGTCTCCTCTCTCCTCAGACGGCTATCAGTGGCTGGAGGTCGACCTCGGAGAGCGGACCACGATCAGCGCCGTGGCAACGCAGGGACGCTACGGCAGCTCTGATTGGCTGACGTCGTACCTGCTGGTGTTCAGCGACACGGGAAACAACTGGAAGCAGTACAGACAGGAGGACAGTATCGGGGTGAGTGCAAAGGGCGCTGTTTCCTCAAGGAGACATTTTGCATGTATTTAACAATAGTGGGGCACAGCATATAACAATGGTTCATTTTCATTCAGAAGTGGATCTTACTGTCTGATTCTGACTGATTGTAGATTTTGTTGAATTGTTCATTTTCACTGACTGTTATTTGTGCTTCTACTAATACGCCACATAGTCAAAGGCTTCTTTTTTTGTTTATTTAATTATTGTGTTAATGGTGTTGTAGCAAATAGCAAACTACAACAGAAAAATAAATATCAAATATAAATGTCTGTAGTGATGTGATAAAGTCGAAGTCAAAGAGTTGATTTTTTACTAATTTTAACGGATCGTCAAGTTCAGACTTTTTCTACCATTTGAATGGTTAATTTTTTCCTCAAATCGACACAGAGAAGAATATTGAACCTTTTTTAGAGGAATTAGACAAAGACCATTGAGGGCCTTGTAGCCTTCTCAGGCTGGGTATCACTAGCAAAATATGTCATATCTTTAAAACTAGAGATTGTTGGAACTGTGGAAAATTAAAACGCGTTTTTTTTAGGAGTTTTGTAATAATTAGCAACATAAAATGACTGTTTCTTTCAATGGAGTCTGGTGGCTTCGAGGAGAGCATGTTAAATGTGTGTTTTGTACACCAAATCATTCCAAATCCGTCTTTATTTTACTGAATACATCTTAAGAAGCAGAAAAGGGGGAACACTTGTGTCAGGCCAGCCGTAATTTCTGCTGTTTGGAGCTGCTGATCAATACCTGTGTCTACTGCACAGATCCAACAGTTAATGGTGATTTGAAGACAATTAAAGACATATATTAGCAGGTGTCATTGGAATTATTTTTGTCAAGAGGGAAAGCGGCTTAAAGGTGGGGTAGGTAATTTTGGAGAAACCAGCTCGAGTGCGCTAGAATTTAAAAATACACAGCCGGAAGAAATCTGCCACTTCCTTACAGAGCCCCTCCTCCAACACACACGAACGCGCACATGACCAATGAGGGCACGAGATAAGTTTGTGCACAGATGGAAGGCTGACAGGCAGGTAGGCCATCCAGTTACTTTAGCCGGGCCGGCTCAGATGATTGGTCGTGCTTTTTACAGTTCTACGGCTTCCACAGATGACTTTTTGTATGGATTTTTTGTCAAAGCACTTAATATATTCATTGCTATCGGGATGTTAAGAGCATTCCATGGAATATAACAAAAAGTGTATCTCGAGCCGGTTTCTCAAACTTACCTACCCCACCTTTAAATGTGCATTTATTTCCAAAGTGTGAGACTTTGCCATCTTACTATTAAACTCTTGTATGAGCACACACAGTACTGTAGGTTCAGTATCATAATATGTGAGTGAAAATAAACCACAGTCATTACAGCTCATTTCCCAGCACTACCACAGTGTATTTACAGCAGGGCTGGTCTGCAGGGATCAGTCCATCCTGAGGAGATAATCACAGTCACCAGGAGCCTTTGACTCTTCATTAATAATGGATGAGCAATGAAAGAGCTCTGCTGACAGCGCGGACCTGTTGCCAAAACACTTAAGCTGCTGTTGAAGGACACGGAGCGGAGCGGAGAGGCAGCCGAGCGGCACTTTCCTGGCTGAGACCACGCAGCCTGGAGCACAGCCACGCACTGAAACCAACGAGGGAAAAGTGTCAGAACACATGTTTTTGAGTGGCAAGTGACAATAAAGACACATGGGTGAATTGAAGTGGTGTCTAGTGTGCAGGGGAGATAAAAGAAGCAAACAGGATGTTGTGCCAGATGCTTTTTATAGCATGTTGAGTGTTATTAAAAAATAAATAGGAAGAGTCACAGGAATAGTTTGACATATTGCTTAGTTCAACAGTTGCATCTGGTTTGTTTAATCTGTACTGTGATGGAAACTTCTGAAGCAATGGAGACTCAGAGAGACACGAGGAGAGCAGGAACTTTGATGGCAAACACTGAAGGTTTATTTGGAGCTTCGGCCGGAGAATTCATAAAGACGTACTGGGCCACGAGGTGACACAGAAGATACCAAACCATTTCTGAAGATCTCTACCCCAGACCCATGTATTTAGCTGGTTCCGAGAGAAGAATCAACATGCTGCACAACAAGATATAACACCTCTATGAGCTGACGCCAACAGGCAGGAACAGGGAGGCAAAACACTGAGAGCACAGCAGCCAAGGTTGCAGGCCTGTGCTCAGCGAGGGCCGTACACACTGATCAACTGGGTCAAAGTTATGGACAGGAAAATGTTTTCCCCAACATGTACAAAGTGTAGATGTCAACCTTTCAGTTTAATGTTTGTGCAAATTTGCCAAGTAATTTAGGTGAAAAGTGTCCAATCAATTAATCTCCCACTTACATCCATGCCAATTTCTTATAAATCACAGACGGATAAACAGTTCATTGTGTGTGTTTCCAGTCTTTCCCAGGTAACAGTAATGCAGACAGTGTGGTTCAGTACAAGCTGCAGCAGCCGGCCGTCGCTCGCTTCCTCCGCCTCCTCCCTCTGGACTGGAACCCCAGCGGGAGGATCGGACTCCGGCTGGAGACCTACGGGTGTCCTTACAGTAAGACTTCTCTTCTTTATTGTTATAAATGCACAACTTACCATCTACCACCTTACCTCTTCTGCAGCAGAAATATTGCAGGAATTAATTTGTAAAATTACCAAAATACCGTATAATGTTGAAGCTAGGGTCTCTGGGAGATTTGTTATGTACAGTATGTGTGAGACTTTGACTTTCTCCCCTGCTTTAATACATAATGATCATCTACCTTATCATTTGAATACTTAATAATAGGTTATAGTGCCTTATTTTGTCTTATATTGGGATGTTTTTCAGCTTTCATGCAGCAAGAGATAATTAGGCTTCATGCCAACTATTGTCCCTAATTCATGTTTGAATTATTTCCTGTTTAAACATTGACAACCATCATATTTCACACTTTTCTCCTGAAAACCTGAAACCATATGGTGTTATCAGCAGTTTAATGGATTCTGTTTGGAGTATGATTTGCATTAAGAGTTCTGCATCAGCACAAAAGAACAAACTCACAATGTTCTGTTTTTACCCACGTTAACATTATGTTAACTCATAATTCATGTTTCACAAAAGATCCACATTACATCTGCTAATCCCATGGGAACATCTCTTAATTGCATCCATCCATCCATATCCAGCTTTCATTACTTTAGTCATAAATACAAATATATGCTGTTATGTTGTTTAATTTGTTGACAGTCGATTGGAATTATCTTTATCTAAAGTGTTTTTCTAATTAAATGAACACAAGTACATTAAACATTTACTGCAAAACACAATATCTGCAAAGTCTGTTGCAACACAACACAATTGGCCTGGTATCAGGCGATGTCCTTTAAAACATAATTGTTGTTGCAAATTAGATACATAACCGTAATTTACGTAAAAGTCCTAATTTGCCTTTCTGAAAACATCACAAATTAAACCCTTAGTGATTTACTTCTCTTCATCCCCCTCCAGAAACATTGAGACGATTTCGTTCGAGAAGGGTCTGTCTATTTTTCTGGGGGGTTTTTTGCGTGGAGATTTTCTGCATCAATAAATAAAAACATCTTTAAAAAATGATATCTTATCGCTACATGTAAAAAAAAAAAATAGTTACAGTCTAATTTAGTTTTTAGAGAAAAGTTAACCATTAATCCAGATGTGGTTTGGTTAAAGGACCCCAAGTTAGTATTGACTTGAATGCTTCCCTACTGTATGACAGCACAATATGAAATACTGATATAACTCAAAGCTCTGACTGCCTCTGTCTCTCTTTGTGTCTTTCAGCCTCTGATGTGGTGAGTTTGGACGGCAGCAGCAGTCTGGTGTTCAGGTTGACCCCCGACCCGAGGCAGACGTCCAGAGAGGTCGTCTCTCTGAAGTTTAAAACCCTGAGGAATTCTGGGACGCTGCTGCATGCAGAGGGAGAGAGAGGGAGAGGACTCAGCCTGGAGTTAGAGAGAGGAAAGCTGCAGCTGCTGCTCAGACAAGGTACCTCACACAATATACAGATATCTACCCAACCGAGCAATACTGACATATATTATGTATGTAAGTAAGTAAGTAACATTTATTTATAAAGCGCTTTTCCCAGACATAGTCACAAAGTGCTTGACAAAGCATTAAAACATCATACGAATCATAAAAGATTAAATGACCACACAAGCCACGCGTTAAGAAGTGCTAAAAACACAATACATTGTGAAAAACACAATACACAATAAAAACAGAATACAAACATAGAATACAATAGAATAAAAGCACACAAGTTACCCAAACGCCTGCCTAAAAGCGTCTACAGAGTTCCATAGTTTAGGAGCCACGGCCTCGAACGCTCGATGTCTTGTATATTGGAGAATAACACAACAATCTCTATGAATACCAGGTTTATCTGCAGAAATATTGGGAGATATACGGATATGGCAAACAAGAGAAGTGGTAGGCTTCAGAAGCTTGCAGTATATTGTTGACATCGTTGGTAAAAATTCAAACATAGCTGAAACAACTTGATCAGCACGAAGAGATGTAGTGTCTTGACATGTCCTCTGTGGGCCTCTCTGTGGGCCTCTCTGTGGGCCTCTCTGTGGGCCTCTCTGTGGGCCTCTCTGTGGGCCTCTCTGTGGGCCTCTCTGTGGGCGTACTGGTGGAGAACTTCTCTATTAGGTGGAGGACAATATAAACCCCCCTGAGATAACTTCTGATTGGGTGAGATGGGCGACACGCACGCTGCCGCCTGATTGGTTTAAACCTCGGCTCTCGCTCCATTGCTGCGTCTCTGTCTAGTTGCAGCCGTGATGGATGGTATCCGTTCACTGTAGCATGTGTTAGGGCCGGACCCTGTAGGACTTGATGCATGGCTTACAGACTGTACAGAGGGGTGTGTGTGTGTGTGTGTGTGTGTGTGTGTGTGTGTGTGTGTGTGTGTGTGTGTGTGTGTGTGTGTGTGTGTGTGTGTGTGTGTGTGTGTGTGTGTGTGTGTGTGTGTGTGTGTGTTGGTTAAACTAGAGGCCGCCTTGCTGAATCATCACCATATGGCTCACCTCTCATCAGGAACCCCATCTGGCTGCTGAAATACTTTCTCCATCCATCCCCTCCCCTCATTATCTCTCTACCTCCCTCACTCCTTTCCTTTTTCTTTGCCTCCTTCATCCTCTTTTTTTTGCGTTTTACAACTCCCAAAACCTTCTGTTACCCCTGCGTCATTACATGTGTCTTTTCCTCTGTCGAACTTTCAGCCCTGTGTTTTTTATGCATACTTATCTTTCTTTTATCCATCTTTAGAGGGGCCCTCATGTTCAGGTGTATATCAGTAGTGTCTCTACTTTAAAGAGTTCTCTCCTGCTGATGTTCAGGTGTATATCAGTATGTAGTGTCTCTACTTTAAAGAGTCCTTTCCTGCTGATGTTCAGGTGTATATCAGTATGTAGTGTCTCTACATGTCTCCATGCTTTAATGTTCAAAAAGCACTTTATTTCTCTCATACTGCCTGTGCTGCAGCACCTCTTTTCACCTTCTGTCTGAAACCAGAGCCCAGTCTGCTCTGATTGGTTATCTGGCCGACTCTGTTGTGATTGGTCTACCGCTTAGAGATGTCCGGCCCCTTAGCCAATCTAATAAGCTAATAATAATTAGGGATGCACGATATTGGTTTTTTGAAACCGATACCGATAACTTCCTGCTTCTCAAGACCGATACCGATAACCGATAATAATATAATATATATATTAAATGTACCTGTAGTTTTTGCACACCTGGTGGTAAAAAAAAGACTAGTAGTGAGCAAATGACATGAGCATTACTACTATGAACAAAACAAAGCCAAGAACAGTTTTGACTCTCGTCAAGCGCCATCATTTCTATGATGAAGTTAGAGATCGTTTTAGCCCTGGGGTCGTCTCTGGCAAACTTCTTGCCTTTTTTAAGAGCCTCGTCGATAGGTAAAAGCCCCGGTGCCTTTGCAGCTGGCTTTGGATTCGCCGCTAGTTTAGCAGCGCAGGCGTCTTCGTACGCTTTTAACACACCATCGTAGCGATGGCGATGTTTCAGGTGACTAATCAGGTTGGAAGTATTATAGCTCGTTGCCTTTTTCCCTCCTCGTGGAACTTCTGCATTTGTTAATACAAATAGCAAGCGAACTATCTAACTCTGAAACTTTGAAATAGTCCCATACCACCGGCGACATGTTTGTTTACTGTCCTGGCTTCACGGCCGCACACCATTTACGTCACAGCCAGGCATGAGTTAGGGAGTGCTGGATTTGTGAAAAACTCCCCTCTTCCTAAACCACTAATACCACAGTACTGGCAAAACGGGAGGAGCCGAGTGAAAAACAAGCGCCCCTCATCCCAATCCACCCACACCGCAGTATTTTTTCCTTTTTTTTCACACAAAAAATATATTGTATATTATCGGGGCTATTAATACTGGTATCGGGTTTATCGGGATGACGTCATAATTTCTAATATCGGACCGATAATTATCGGGCCGATAATTATCGTGCACCACTAATAATAACATATTATCTCCATGATATTAATGTGCACATTCATGCTGTAAATATTATTTCTTCGACCCCATGACCCCTCTTCTGTGTTGCCATCCGACTTAATGTTTCCTTTATGGTGACCAGTCGCTTTTTAATATTTTCCTGGCACGTTGAGGCTCCCATCAGGAAGTCACCTATTGATTTCTGCTGACCCACATCACCATTCATATAAACATCTCACTCAAGGACTCACTGACAGGAGGTCTTACACAGAAGACAGCGGTGCATTCTTTATATTCCACACCAAGCAAACGACTTACTGCCATGTCATAAACCTACATGTGCGACCATTGCTGTCACTTCTTGAAAAAAGATAAATGTATTTTTAATCCCTGTTGACCGTGCTACTTCATCCAAGAAGTAAGGATAAGCCACATGGAGGAAAATAAAGAGAGAGCGACAAAGAAAAAGTCACATTTGATCTCTGTATATTAACTTTAATTCATGGACTTCCACCGTTGTCTTTCCAGTCATGAAATCAAATATTCAAAGAAACAACCATAAGATCCTCTCCTTGTACATCCAACAGCATCTTATTTGTTTTAAAGTGTTGCTATTCTCATATTGATTTCACTGTGATGTCTTCTCTTCTTCACTATAGATGAATTAGTTTTCTTCTATAAGCTGCAGACAAATAAACCTCTCATAAAATGGACTGCAATATCAGAAAAGTCCTTCATCATTAAAGTGTCTCCGTTTCTCTCTTTGAAGTTGGAACTGAGTCTCCCTAAAGATGATCTAATGCATTGTAAAGGTGACTGTATTCAGCTCTTCAGCAGAAACACAGTGTTCCTCCCACAGTACTGCAGGGGATGCAGAAATGAATCCACCAATTTGGACTTTGCTCATTAATCATTAACGATGTCTCGCCATGTTTCCGCTGCAGTTTCCCATATTCTGCATTATGACATATTTCGCTTTGGTTCTCAGATTCTACGATTATATTATTCATCCCAGGGAAACATTGTTTGTGTCAGTTTTTTATTAAATAAAAAAATAGAAATTATTACAAATTGATACATATATTTATTAAATATGTTAAAGTATAAATGTGCATGAAAAATATAAAATACATTTAAATATGTGTGCGTAGGTTTAAAAAAAAAAAAGGGGTCGTTGGTGTGTGGTGTGTTGTTCTATCTCCTTCTATGTTCTTTTACATTTATTTGTTATTCTTCATATTTTTTGTGTGAATTCTTTCTTCATTATTAATTTTAAATGATTTATGTAAAACAAAATGCTTAAGTCAAATGTAAAAAAAAATGGATACAAACGTAAAATATGCTGTATACAGGGGAAACTAAACTATTCACCAGTAAATAATATGTTATTGGTGCTAAGTTATTTTTACATATTGTCAGAAAATGTAAAAAAACTACTTTATTCTAAGTTTCTAAAATCTCAATTTTCTACAGCCTTTTTTCACCTCATTACTCTCTCCACCTCACCTCTGCTCTTCCAGGCAGGACTTCTTCCTCTGAGCCCCGGCGTCTCTCCACCCTCGGCAGCCTGCTGGATGATCAGCATTGGCATCATTTAGCGGTGGAGCGGCGCAGCTCTCACCTCAACCTCACTGTGGACAAACACACGGAGAGGATTCAGATCCCTGCAGAGTTCAGCCACTGGCACATCCAGCAGGTGGGGGAACACACAGGAACACATGCATTCACAATCGGGAAACTAAAGTATCCAAGCCCTAAATGCTCATTTTAGAGCCAGACATGTGTAGGTTTTGTATTTTCTTCTTTATTGTACATGCAACCCTCTGAATATCTCTGTTTCTCTGTGTCTTCATCCAGCTGAGTGTGGGGACAGTCCAGAGCCTCGGCTCTCAGAAACCAGTCATCTCTAAGAGGGGTTTTCATGGCTGCCTTGAAAACGTGTTGTTCAACGGCCTCAACTTGATAGATCTAGCCAAACACAAAGACCACCAAGTTACCCTCATGGTAAGTTAATTTAGTTAAACACGACCACATGCACTGAGGGGGCACAGCTTCAATCACTGGGCACTATAACACAAATCCACCTCTGAACGTGGTCCTTCAGAAAGTTACTCTTTCAAAACACGTGTTAAAGATTATGCGGTGTGTGTTTTGGTGACTCTTGTGACTTCTAACTGATTATTAAACATCCTATTTAATTTCTGTTTTATCATGCACTTTTATTCTGAGAATATTTGTATGCTGTTTGTATATTTTTTTCATATTTAGGTGTGGAGAGCTGAGCGTACACATTTAATTGTACAGTGCAACGTATACTGTACATATGACAATAACAAACATATCTTAAATACAAACATGACCAAAGAGCAGCATGTTCATTTTTAACTTTGTGAATTTGTATTTAGTTTAAAGTAGTGCTGTCAAAATTATCGCGTTAACGGCGGTAATTAATTTTTTTAATTAATTGCGTTAAAATATTTAACGCATTTAACGCATGTGCAGAATGGCCCGCCCCATACATCCCACCAGTGGCAGCGCCAGGGTATGGCTGGGGTAGGCTACACCCATACCAAGAAATGGCTTAGCCCCACCATGAAAAATGATGTTAAAGGAAGCAAAATAAAGTCTGCCAACTCGCGCAGAGTAAATTGCACAGACAGCAGTTAGTAAGATTTATTTCAGTAGCCACGGTTTTGAAAACTTTTGTCACGTAGTGATCGTCTTCTCAATAGAACATCTTTGATAACGGCGTGGTGTTGTTGCAGGAAGTCCCGACGGAGAATACTTTTGCTGTAGTACAGGGGTGCACATAACTGGTACGCAGGTTATGTGCGTAATCTGAAATGCGTACCGTCACTTGTGTCACAAAGCGCATTTGCGTACCGACGTACTTGTGAAGCTTTTCCAGAAGGCGGTTAGATCACCGGACGACAGAGTCGGTCTCCGTGTGCACAGACAGGCTGCTGTCTGCTGTTAACGTCGGTCTGTACAACGGAATTGTGCCAAAACTACGCCAACCGGCTACGGAGGGAGACTCCCCCCCTTCACTGGAGACCTGCACTAAAACAGCTGATCACAACGTTCACACTGTGGTAACGAAGTACTCCACTAGCCGCCGCCGCCCCCCCGTCGACTTTCCTGAAGTACTCCCCCGTTGATAGAAATCAACACGGAATGAATTAAGACCCCACGGTTTGATGATTGATAGGTGTGTGGGTTGTCTTTCATTTTGACACGCAGAACAATGTTATAATAAACATAGATACTGTATGTTAAATGGATATATCCGCCTTCTTTCATTTATCTTTCCATTCCCACAACAATATGCATAAATAAATGGCATATTTTGGACATAGTTCGAATGGTGATTAATCATGATTAATTAATTTTTAAGCTGTGATTAATCTGATTAAAAATTGTAATCGTTTGACAGCCCTAGTTTAAAGTAATAAGGTTGTTTTATTTAAGTGTGTTGTTATTGGTAATTTGGTGCGAACCAATTGCCAACGTGCGTTTGTGTTTTGATAAGAATCTTTTTGTCTCTACTGGGATTCAATCAATGTGTTATAGATTGTTAAGCCCTCTTAGAGACATTAGTGTTTTGTGATTTTGGGCTGTATAAATGACATTGAAATGATTAATTGATTGATTCGAAGTGGTGACATATTGGCTTTACCATTCAGGCCCTGCAGTGTGCTGGTTCCTGTGGATGCCTGGGTAATGAAGCCAGGATAAAAGAGTGTAGAAGGTGGTTAGACTCTTACTAATGCCCCCTCATCTCACACCATTAGTACCTTCAGATGTTTCCACATCCGTGATGAGTGGCGCAGGCTCATCAGGGAGAGACTGTGAAGCGTTCCTACAGGAAGTAATAAGTGCTCTCTCATTACAGGAAAGGCCCAGGCAGCAAGAACAACATGAATTCTTAGTGAAGAGGTCCACAGATTTCACATGCATGGCTAAAGATCTAATGGAGGCAATTTTATTTTATGTGTTTAGGTACTAGCCACAAAGTTATGATCCAATGTAATGCAGGGACTGAATGGTGCTTCATATGGCTCTGTGAGGTGGCATTAACACATAGAGTGTGGGTGAAGGAAGATTGGTGTGTCTGCGCTGTGGAGCTGTAGGCGTTAGTGGATTTACAAGTTAACTTTTTACTTGTTGTGCCCACTCCCAACATGAGTTATAGGTCATCACGTACAAGTACACCACAAAGGGCCTTTAGATGTCACCTGTGTTTCCTGAGCATTGTAAAGATAGCAGGCTGCGGATACTCCCAGCAGAGAGCTTGAGATGTAATATATTTCTGCTGCAGCCTGGTGACTGTAGAGGAAACTTCTGTGTAGCATGCAGTGGAGTCACCGACTCAGGAAGGAGACACGGGAAGAGTCGGAGCTTTGATGTCAAACCACTGTGATTTATTTGGAGTTGGTACCAGAGTATTCACATCACAAATCCAAGAGTCAGAGGTTCTGACTCCACGGTAGAGTTGCCACGTCAATTCTGGAGAGCCTCTCTCTTGCCAGTCCATCTAACTGGTTTCGCAGAGAGTAAACAACATATTTGAGGAGATAGCCTAAACAGTGTGGGAACACAGAGCTACTTGCCTCGGACACTTATGACCTCGAAGATTTTACCTTGGAGTCCACAAATACAAAGAAGGAAGTGTCCCAGTGTACCCACAACACAGACCATCTGTATCCCAGTATTGACCGGTCACAGAATGGGAACAATAACATTATTGGCTAAGCCGCCTGTGTCCTTAAAGAAGGTAAACAGACATCGAGGTTTGTCCTGTATGTTACTAATTGGCGTCTATGATAATTATTTCCACAACAGTCCTCTCTTTTTATCATTTATGATAACCTAAAAACATTAGTCTAATAATAATTTGGTCAATAATTAACTCAATAGGCGTCTCCAGGTTCGAGTGTGGTCTCACCTTACATCAATTATATCACAAAGTGGAATAAGATTGAAACATTCAATCACAATGATTGATACAGCCAATCATAATAGGAAAAATCATCTCTCATCAGTGGTTTGATCATCTTTAGTCAAAAGCATAATAATGAACACACATAAAACACAGGTGCACAATGGCTAAATATTTGTTTTAAACTAATATCTTTTATCATTTACCATTAGTTAATTTCATTCATCAAACTATAAAATCAAAACCAGCTTGCCGCTTTAAAGATTTACTTGAAGGCAATCACTAGTCAAAAGCATAATAAAACTCAGGATCGTAAGAGACCCTGCTAAAAATTCACAGTTAGAGTATAGAATTCACAATGGTGATTTGATCAATCTGTGATCTGCAAAAGTGCAGTGTCCTCAATTTTAGGATTATCTTAAGAGTCAGGCACTTAATTTTAGTAATATCAATACATTCAAAATCTGAAAAGGAAAAGTCAGACATGTATTGTGTAGTGTAACAACCTGAAAAGGAAAAAAATCAACTTTAATCAGTTTTAATTAATTGGCCATTCGTTGTAAGGGGGAACCCATGGTTCGGGTGCCACGGTAGAGACCCACGGGTCGGGAAGCTCGACGTCGTACATCATCACGGTGTCATCAATGGTGTCGTACCCCACCAGTGTCTGTGGGGCCTGGAGGGCGGTTTTGACAACCTTTTGCATGACCAGCTTAACAACAGTGACTAGGCACACTATCAGGATTAGTACAGCTAAGATAAACAGTGAAATGGTAATGGCAAGTTTACCCAATCCCGCTCCCCATGACCCAAATATTCCAGATAAATCCCCAAATGCAAACCCATGAGTTTCGTGCAATTCTTTTATTCCCCTAGCAGTATCATGAGCCATATCCATGACCTCAGGTGTAGCATCAGAGATGAAAGAACAACACTCAGAGCCAATCACCTTGCACGTGCCCCCCTGTGCTGCTAGCAGAAGATCCAGTGCCATGCGATTCTGTAATGCCACTGTTCTAACTTCCTGCAGTTCTTTGTGTTCAGCCAACATGGCTCTGTTGGATACATTGAGGTGGTTTTCCACTATTTTGGAGAGAGCTATGATTTCCTGCTGGGAAACATAAATGCCGTACCAGGGCAGGACAGCGCTAGCCAGCTGCTGACCTGTTGTGATGGTCCTACGATTTCTGTGTAGGGAGGGGAGTATTGCTGCAATCTCATCAATCTCTACTTTACGGATCAAAGGGATTAGATAGGCTAGATAACAGGTGCCATCAAAAGTGTCATAAGGCATGCAACTGTAGGCTCTGTCTCCACAGACCAAGTAAACTCTCTCTGGGAGGGGAGTACTGGTTAGTTTGACCTTTATTACGGTGTTACAGTCGCTGTGGCCCACATCGTGAGAGGGTAGAAACCCTCCTCCGTTCTGAAAGCAGATAGACACATTCTTCCACTCATGCACCACAACTGGGGGAATATAAACTGAACAGTCACGTGTAGGGGACTTACCTAGGGGTAATGGCAGCGAGCAGTCATGTATTTTAACTTTAATCGAGTCCACTGTTCGGGACCCAAACCAGGGTACCACTGTTACTAAGGCTTCAACCAACAAAGATGGTGTGTGTGGTTGAGGTGAACATGTTGGTCCCGTATAGTTAATTGAACAATTAGTCTGGACTAGAGCTAATTGGAATCTGTATTCAAAAACTAGGTTTAAGTACTTCTTCACATATATAATTTTTAGGACCATTACTCGCTTGAAACCGTCTGGTAGGTAATCCTTATTTATTGTGTCAACAATGAGCGAGATTAAGCCCTTGTACCTTAAAGGTTGCTTGGAGTCTATGGGGTAAGAAGGGATGTAACAATCATCGGTCTCATCGCTAATTCGGGATGCTATATCATTCCAGCTAACTAAACTGTAGTCAGGTTTTGTGAAAGGAATTGGGCTGAACATGGGAGAGTGCATGGACTCTGGCATATTTTGGCACAGCCAACAGTTGCTAACATTGCGTTCATGTGCATAATCTATCATTAGATTTATTGCAGAATTAGAATGGGTTTT